AACGTGACGCACTTCAGAATAGTGTTGTTAATAGATTTTAAAGGACGTGAGACATGCAAGGTTTTAACAAACAAAAAAAAATATTTTCAAATTATTTCGAATTTAATTATCCAGAAATATAGTTGCAATTAAAAAATTTTTTACCAATTGCCCACTCAGCTATGATCCGTCAAGTACTCTATTCATGGTAAATCCTGATATTCCTTACCTACTATCAAAATCAACGGTTATCAGAGGATGACAACAACTTCTAAAAATTCTCGAGATTTATTTATGTAACGAGACTGAAATAAAACTGAATATGGGAAATACTCACACACATTTGGTTTCAAAGCCATATAAGATAACGTTTCATCCACTGTATAAGGGATCAACTAATATAAGTAACTAAGCAAATTCTAGAATAAATTTTTTTGTACAAGGGAAACGTGCAAACAGTAAGCAAAAAATGTATACACGTAAAATACAGCGAATTAAACCAGTAGAGGAAAAAGGGAAAGAGCGCTTCAAACCACCCTCTTTCCTCTAACTGAAAAATGCTATTCATCACAAACAACATAACACAGATATACATATCAGAAAGAAGATCGCTGCCGAGGACGTCAGCGTCGCGGCCTTGGACGTGTTACGTACGATAGCATAAAGCTATGCGTGCGTGCGCCTCTGCTGGCATGGGCCTGAAAGGTAAGTAAATAGAGAAGAAAGGTAATAGGAAAGGGAGAGAAAAGGACCAGGGAGGTCAGCTAGAGACGCAAAAGCATAAAGACAAAGTCCGCGAAACGAGAATACAGGCACAACTTCCCTTAAATATAAGGAATTCTAATAAAGCATAAGTTAACAACAAGTCAAGCTTATATTTATTCCCGCATTGACAATCCCACATAACAGTATACATTCATTTGCAATTCAAACAAACTGTGCAATAGTGTATCGTACAATTTAATGCTGTTGCAAATAAATTAAGACTTAACTGTTTTATCTACTGTAGGAAAGTTAACATCAAGAATCTCTTTCCAAATAATTTTTTTTATTTCCAAATTATTATCTCGTTCTGTTGAACCATAAATTTCATTTTTATTTTTCATCTCCATAACACGACGTATAACTGATCATGTAAAAAGAATGGATGTCTAAAATATAATCCTACATTATTATTATTACGTCGAGCTTGAAATTAATTTATAGCTGTAGAAAATGCTAAGAATACAGAACAACGTTGCCTGTGTAAAATAAGAGGTAATAACTATGAATTGAAAAACGTTTTATTAATTAATTAAATGTAAATATTTCGTTTAAGAATACCATATAATATGAGAAGGTGTGATCTTACTAATCTATGAAGCAAAGTCGCTAAAACCATTGTTATCGCTAACCGCGATAACTACTAAACCGATTTTGCTGAAATTTTGCACACAGATTCATGATACTTCCTAGATGGTTTTAGTATAGTTTCTATCTTAAAAAATTTAATAACAACAGCAATAAATAAGCTCAAAGTTTTAAAAAAATACGCCAGCTTTTCACTTTAGTTCAGTAAAATCTGCTAGGTGGCGTCGACATAAAATCGAAGCTACCCGCAACATAATTAAATAAGTGTGATTATAATAGGCTGGAGCGTCTCGGTAGCCATGTAGTTGAGCTTCGGAAGTTCAACGAGCTGTATAGAGAATGCTGATGATAGTCTTGCAGCTGCCTATCCCGGTTACGGATGACACTCTTCTCTAAGGGGAAAGGGACCTAGGTGTCCATTCACACTGAATCTCGACGAATGCGATCAAAAAAAAAAATCATTCCAACCGATGCCGTCTCTGCCACAATACTAGGAGACATATCTAGCCAGAGCACAATCTGCACCAACTCTTTAGAGTTGTGTGTCAGTCCCACCATCCCACCTGGTACAGTTAGAGAATTTGTGGCTACAAATGTAAGCAAGGGAAAACAGCTGTGAGGGGCACGGGCAGCCACAACGGCTACCTTCTTGGTCGTCACGTCCCCAACGCGCTTACCCACATGTTCCCGTCTAACTATGAGCGGTTGGTTATCCGGGTAACGACCCGAGACGAGTTATTCTTTGGTCAGAGGCGTACCTCCATTCATCACAGTCTCCGTATATCAAGACTTCAAGGATAAGAATCAAGCAACCCGTAGCCAGCTCTTTATCATCAGGAATAATAATAAAGAATAGCCTGGAAGTTTCACCGCTGGCGCTTTTTAGGGCCATTATAAGTATTTACGTTCCCAACTTAACCATCAATTTCATCGGTTCTTTTTAGGATCTACCTAAGCGTAAACTACCTTGGCAACAAATACATTTTTATTACCATTTTTGGAAGCGATTCGTCGACTAAAAGACTATATTAACTAAAAACGGGCACTATTAAACCAAGTCAGCCATTCACTAGCAGACGTCACCTGCGGAGTTGTTCTTCGCAAGGCTGGAAAACCTGGTGACCGACGACCCTATACTACTCTCTTGACTCTAAGCATTCAACCAGGAATCACTGATCCTCTCTAAGGTCTGCGTTGGGCAAACCTATAACAGCTATGAAGGAAAAAAAGCTTGAGCCAATGGGACAGCCTCCACTGGACAAGTATCACTAACCAATCTCTCCATCTAAGATCACCAAAACAACTGAATCTGCAAATAAAAAGGTGCTTTAGACACCAACGTCTTCGACGTTATACCCGGAGACGTTGGGATACAGCACTACAACTAGCCCCAAAGCTTTGGACTTTGTAATTTTTCTCCCAATTAGTCTGGGTCTTCAACAGTTAGCCAGAGAAGATCGTCCTGAGGTATTCAGGTAGTCACAATTGCTGTTAACTGCAGTCAAGACATTTGAGTACTTATTTAAGAAGCTCACCGGTCTTTTTCAGGGCCATCGGATATTGAACTACCTTGACAACAAATATATTAGAACTCAACAAAGTTGACAGAAAACAGCTTTTAGGGGACACAAAAATTTTAAGCATGCCAAAAGTCGCTAGAGGGAAATTGGAAGAAAAAATTCAAGTGTATCTAATAAATACAATTTTATTTAGGTGTCAAAAAACTGACGCAGAAAACTTATCGAGATTGAAACAGCAGCGTCAAAATCGACAACTCAAGAGTCTATTGCGTGAGAGATCAGCTTTTTATTGTACCCTCACAGCAATCTCTGAAATCTTTAAAGATCCTACTTCAGATTTTTTAATGAGTAGAAAATGTATTTGTGTTTTTGTGGCAATAAAAATGTGGGTTTAAGGTCCAGGACTTTGTTGCTCTGGTAATAAAGTTGTGAGATATGAGAAAAAAAATTTTTTTTTTAAATAAATTTTTTGGCATCTTAAAATCTTAACAGCTTTAAAAAATAGAAGTTTTCGTGAATTACACGGGAGAAACTGTAAATCAACGGCTTCTTAAGGCCATTGACTATTTTATGGCATAAAGAACGCACGGTACTTTTCAGCATAATTATTTTTTTGAATTTTTACACCTTATTATTTAACCAAATAAACTATATGGATTTCGAAAAAATATGTTTTTAATAAGAAGATTTTTGTGCAGAGAGATGTATCAGGAATGTGTGTCAAATCTTTAAATGAAAATGTTTTTCATTACATGTCAACACACTACGGTGTTTTATTTAGTAAGTCTCCGGCAAAGCCTAGACGGGGGGCTGCGAGTTATTTTATAATTGCTTGTACAATTATGTTTCTATTATTATTTTTAAAACTGAAAAAATTCGTTTAAAATCTGATTTTAATACAACTATGTTATCTCTAAAATGGTCATTAGAGTTACATAAATAACGTTGTGTTCTTTCAACTATTTCTTAGTCTTTTTAAAGATCATAGAAGCCTCATCTTATATCATAAAATCTATTTTTTCCAACATTTTTTTTAGATTCAAATTCCGAGAACGAACTTTTTCTATAGTTAAAGTCTAATGGTAAGTAAAACGTTCTAAAGCTGGTAATTTATTTTTAAAGTAGTACTCATTCTATACTAGTTTACGCCAGTGAGTAAACTTTTTTCCCACGAGAATTTTCATAATAAATCAACATTCTACTTAGAAACGCTTCTTGTGAACCATCTGTGCTATCAGTAAAAAATTTTTTTCCTTTTATCACATATAATTTTGAAAACCGTGATTTAATGTTTATTTAATTGATCATACGTTAATTTGAACATTTGAGTACAAAAAAAAGATTTTTTTTTATGGTACTGATTCCTTTTATTTCAGTTTTTGTTGGTATGGATATATTTCATATTTTGAATAATTCGTTTTGTAACTGTGAAATTTCATTCATATGTAAAAGTGTATGCTTATTCTGCTAATTAAACTTTATGAGGCTAACAAAAAAGTGAGGTATTTCACATATATTTCAATATTTGGATGTTGGCGTGTAGAGCCTGCTGGTCGTGAAGTCCCACTGTTTGTATAATGTTGAACAGACAAAACTTATTGTAATTGCTGGAATTTATCGTACTTGTAGCCACTGTAATGATCAAATGCCATATGTAACTTATATAACGTATCAAAGTATCAAAGGATTTACTACTGACTAAATTTTTCTAAGCGCTTTTTTCTTTCTGTACCACTGTAAAATGCGTTTTTTAGATATTTAAATACATCTACAGACTACCTGGCATTTAACGCCATTGGCACCCCTCATGTATCACTGAATCGACACCATAAGTACTGATGCATATCGTTTTACCACCTCCAGGTTCATGGTTAGTGCCAATAGTAACTATTTAAAATGTTTGTAGATTAATAAGCAATAAAGAAAATATTAAAAATGCATTGTTAAGGAGTAAGAAAAAGTAATGAACATGATGCGCTAGTGCTTACATTGATCAGCTTATATTTGCCTTATGGACTTAACGAAAAATAAGGTCTTTTTAAGCGTGACATATTCGTTTTACAAATATTTATAACAACTTTTTAATGTTCTACTACAGTTATAAAAGAAAATGAGTATAAAATATATTGTAGCTTTAGATTTTACAATTACCATCCCAGCTAAGTTGTAGCAAAGCAACAGAATTATCTTTAAGGGAGTTTTTGCTTTGTAAGAGCGATGTGTCCATAACCGATGAGCGCCTGCTCCTACACCAAAGGAAGCAGATACAGCCACAGCCCAAGCTGAAAAGTATTATAAAGTTCATTGAAGGTAGTTTATACTTTTATTTTAAAACTAGTTTTCGTTATGTTATTATTTTTGTGTTCTTTTGAGACTCTAATTTTCTTTATTAAAAGCATGGACTTATTCCAGCTTGATACATAGATTTTTATTTTAGGAGCACGAAGAGGTTTTGAAAAATATCTTTTTTTTATTTTACAATACTTAGATTAAACAACATACAACAGTTACGTAATAAATTATTTGATAAAAAGTAAATCTCTTAAAGAAATCGACAAAAAAGAATTTATGTATTAAATTTGAACATCAACAACTTAAAGCTTAGAAGCAAATAAGGCTCGTACAAATTAAGACTTTATTGAATGTAAAACTAAGTAAGTTTCTTTGTCTGTTTTGGCTTTTAAATTTTTCTAGGTTTTCAAAATTTAAACGTTTCTATTATCACCTTTTTATAAAATAATACAAACTTCCTTTTTATTCTTATAACTTTTCGTCTTTTTCATATGTTGGTGCAAAAAATGCAGAAATTAAAAAACTCTGTAAAAAATAAGATACTTAGATGATCTCACTAGGTATAACAAGCTTTATTAATAATTTTCTTATTCATATTAGTTCGAAACTTATACAAATTTGTATACTTCATGTGACAGACAATTACGCTTCTAAATCCATGGACACTCTTAATTATTGTTACTAGTCGACCTTATTTAAAAAAATAGAGATTTTCGAAGAAATATAACGTGTATGTTTGTCATAAACTCTGAAGTACAGTGTTATAGCTTATAACAATAAAATTAGCATTCTAATTGTAGTATTTCAAAAATTTTAATGCTCTCAGTCTTTAAATCAGTATTACTTAGACAAGCACGTCTTACTAGTTGTAAACTTTTAACCAACTAAAGTAAAAACTACAGATGATTACTAACAGTTTTTTATTACCTTAAATTTATTAGGCTGATTAACATAGAAACAATTTAGTAATAAAGTTACTCACGTGTATATGTGATAATGTAAGGGAAAGCTTCCAAATGGATTTAATAGTTTACGGTTTTTTTTGTGTACTCAAAAATGTTTGTAATAATTTTAGCAAATAACCCATAAAACCTAACAACAGAATAACAACGTAACAAGTAAATAATCTGTTGTTGTGGCTAGTCAGTGATGTGACAATACAATTAGATAGAGGAAGTGTGGTGGGCTAAACGGAATATGTAGGGAAAGGGAGAAGAAAATGGATTTTATTATGAATTTATGGGTTAAAAATAACGAACAAATGCATCGTATGTTTTCTTATTTTGCCATCGGGGCTATGGATAGACTGTCAGGTTAGATGGAAACACTGTAGAGGGAAAATAGGTGGTAACGAATGGTCAGTGAGGTCTCTGTAAAATGCTCCACATAAATAACATTCTATATTCATGCACTAGTACAGCTTTTTTCACTGCGTAATGCAAACATCTCCCCGTTACTCCCCTTTTTGCAGTTAAAGCAAAGACTTCATATTGGATTGGAAAAACTTTTTTCAAAAATTTTTGAGTGCATGCATCAGAAGATTCTTTATTGTTTACATAGTTAACAAAACTCTTATTCTCATGATTCTTAAATCAAATCTTCAAATGATAATACAATAAATTTTATAGCTGAAGAGAAATACAACAGATTATGAGTGTTTGACTTGCAGTGTAATTGAATTTAATACTTGAATCATTTTACTGGAAATGGTCTATTTCGTGTTCTAAAACCGTATCTTAAACAGTTAAGGAACGATTTTTAGTGAAGGAACAATAAAATGAGTATTATTAAAAAGTATTCTTTTTGTTTGAAATGCAAAGAAGTAGCTTAATTAGGGTTCAAGGTTCTTGTCTTACTCAAAAACTTAAGGTTTTAACGATGCCTTGAATCATCAAAATACAAAGTTTTAAATTGTTCTATGCCATAAGATCTTAAAGTAATGAAGATGTACAAAAGTTTTTCGTATTTCATACTAACAGAAAAAATCATACGGAAGATTTGAATGGTGATAAGGGTGCAGGTGGTGGTTAAGATGTTTTGTATTCGATTAGGGTAAAAATCATGGAATTTGACTTGAAAGGTGTTCGATTAGAACAAAGCTTTTGTTGTATGGTATACGCACAGAAGCGAAGTTAAAATTTTATTTGGTGTGTTACAATCTCGATTTTTCTACAGATTAATTAGAGCCCGTAACGTTGTTTTTCAAAAGAACTCGTTACGCTTCATTCTCATTTGGTGTATTTCAATATTGATTTTTCAACAAATTTATGAGTGCTCATAACGCTGTTTTTTAAAAGCCCAGAACTATATTAGACATTATAGGATTGCTTGGTGTTGAATTATCGACTTCAATGATGAATTTCAAAAATAGTACAGGTAAGTTATGTATGAATGTACTGTAGTCATAAATACTATGATTAAAAAAATTTTTAACAATTAATACTCTATTTTAAGAATTTGTCTTTTCTAGCCTTTAAAATATGCTACTTTTTATAGAATGATTCATAAAATTATGAATGTTGGAAAAAAAAGGATTTCATACTGTTTGTACGCAGAATACTAAAGTTTTTTGTACTTATTGTCTGAAAGGGTTTGAAAAAACCTATTAATGTATGTCATTTTACTATCTTGTTTCTCAACAATCGAAGAAATTATCAGACTATCGTAGCATTATAATGACTACCAAAAGGTATGATAAGTTGAAGGACTATAAGGTTTTCGTTTTATTTAAAGAAAAAAGAGATCGTTTTTTTGGAATTTAAAAAAAAAAAAAAAGTCAAGAAAAATAAATTAAAATATTTAAAATGATTGCTTAATAATTCTAAAAGTTTGTATTATTTAGTGTAATGAAACATCATGTGTATAGTAGAATTATGTCGCAGTATCAAGAATAAAGGATTACAATCAAATAAACTTGCGAAACTACTTTCTTATTTATTTATATAATTATATTTATCGAACATTAACTTTCCACTTGACTAATTAAACATAATTAATTATTCAAAAGAGTGTGAGTGTGTGTGTGCTATTATGCTTCACCTGCACGCATACGTACTTTTTCCATGCTAAGCAAGTTAAAACTCTTTTAAAACTCGTACTTGGTGCGTCTATTGAAAATAGTAGAATGCTTAAAACGAAAAACTATAGAACAGGAGAAAAAAAAATATTGTTTAATTTTCAATTGCTAGATGGAACTAATCGATATGGCGTATTTATCATTTAGCAAAATACAATCATGACTAATAGTTGCACTGATACGAATCATTATTACGTTGGAAATATGATGGTGAGTATTTGTCCTCACGATTTTATGCATTACATTGCAGAGATTCATTTACAGAAAAATAACTGCCGTTTACTAAAATCAAGCCGTTGCTAAGAATAACAAAGAAATAAACAAATTTATAACGGATCTCATAAAAATAATCATAGGTTTTCTAAGTTATACTTCTACAGGCGCGTTCTGCCATATGGAGTAAATCAACGATTTCAGAATGTTGACCTTGAGAAAAAGTAGAATGGAAGTGGATTTTGCTTGATTCTCCCCCTTCGCCTAACCACTCTTGAGGTATTTCTAGTACCCTAATATCTTCCAACATCATTGCACCACACCACACATTTCGAATTTTACTTATTTTTTTTTTTTAAACAAATTTCTAACAGTTTTCAAAAAGATTCAAACCCCTAACCTCTTGCACACTAGGCGAGCCCCGTATTCACTCTGCTATGAGCAGGCCCAACGATGAAAAACCGATTACTTCATTCTTTATTACTTATCGTAGCTTATTTAATACGTAAATATTTTTTTAATATGTATTTATTTATTTCGTTTTATTTTACTTTAAATGAATTAGTTATTTACTAAAACATATTTTTTTGGTACGTGTTTTTTTTTTAAATTTGGAAATAAGTATATATACTAGCAGAGCAGCTTTTATATGTATTAATGAACATTTATTTATTTATAATTAATTTGTTACTTTTAGAATAAATAAATTATTGTTTATACATTTTTAAATTTTTTTAAAATTTTCATAATTAAAAAAAAAAATTTCCGTACTGCATGAATACAATAATTGACTCTTATTGCCTTTTCTTCTTTCACAATTTTTCCTTTGTAAATAAGAACAAAATTGAAAGAGGTGATTGATCTGCAATTTTTGGGGGTATTTCTCATGGTTTTTTTTTGTTTACTGTTAATGCTTCAATAATATCTGTTAACGAAACGTACGTGTGATGAACGTCCTGAAGAGACATTCACTGATACATACTCCTATGCTATCAAAGAAAGTGGTACGACAAAATGGTTTGTATTAATTTTTAAGATACAATTATATTTTAGATGTTAAATATGGAGTAGGAATAAGTGTGTGAGCGTATGTGATAGATGTGAGCATGGTGTTACAGATGTAATCAGCGTGGGCAGTAAGAAGTTGTTTTGAAACCATCGAAAGATTCGATAAAAGCGCACAGTCGTGGATCAGCCTGCCTCAATATTGTTTTGTATTGTATTGTGCCATTATATCTGTTGTTTACAATTGTTCAGTTATTAAATATTAAGATATTTACTGAAACCACACCCAACTCAAGTAGGTATACTGTTTCCAACGATAATTGCACCACCTTTGTATGCAACATCGTTTCATGAAAGGTACATTTATAATTATAATAATGTTATCTGCCATATAATATTATATAAGTATAACTTCTTACTTTGGTACCCAAGCACCCACTGTCCACTGGTTTAAAATCAGATCTCAACATCATACCTAGTATATACATGAAGACATCACATACTTCCAATGCTAATAAAACAATTTATGAACTATAGTTTTCATAAGAGAATACCAGAACTTAGTCTCGAGCATCCCCGTACATGCTGAAAACTGCTTGTGGAACATAAATAGTTTAACTCTGGCACCCATTTGAAATCTTTGTATACAAAAGGTCTTTACAACAGTACCTGCTGACATCGATTAAAGCATCTTTT